CCTAGCCCGTTTTGGACAAAACGGGATGGGCCACGGGTAGCCCTATGGGCCAGCTTGTCTCGCCTGTTGTGCAGCCCTAGTTTCAGCAACAACATACAAGTCATCATTGAAAGTTGAGAATCAATGGCGACTTTTTAGTGTCACCGCTAATTGTCAACATATTTTAAAATATGTTATAATTTGTAAAAAAATTATGTTGTAAGTTTTAGCAGCGACATACAAGTCACCGCTGAAAGTTGAGAATCAGCAGTGACTTTTTAGTGTCGCCGCTGATTATCAACATATTTTAAAATATGTTATAATTTTTTAAAAAAATTATATTGTAAGTTTCAGTGAAAACATACAAGTCACCGCTGAAAGTTGAAAATTAGTGATAACTTTTTAATGTTGCCGCTCATTGTCAACATTTTTTAAAATGTTATAATTTTTTTAAGAAAATTATATTGTAAGTTATATGTCGCCGCTGAAAGTTGAGAATCAGCGACGACTTTTTAGTGTCGCCACTGATTGTCAACATATTTTAAAATATATTATAATTTTTTAAAAAAACTTATGTTATAAGTTTCAGTGACAACACTAAAAAGTTACCACTAAAAATTTGATTTTGTATTGTCATCATAATTTTTTATTTTTATTTATCTAATATTTAATATTTTAAGACATTAATTTTGTTGTATTATTATAATTTTATAATGAATATATAAAATAACATAATGAGTTTTTATTTAATATATTCTATGGTTAAATTGTAACTTTAAGATAAGGTTAAGGTATTATTTAATACTGATGAGCTAAAGTAAAGAATTAAGCCAAACCATATTATTTTACATGTGTGTTTGTATTAAAAAATTTACAACTAAGGTTAAGATTCAACTGAGGTTAGCAAATTAAGGTTAGAAAAAAAGTCAGTAAATGTAAAATGATTTATGTTTGGATATTTTTTTTAAAAGTTTATTAGATAAACTAAAATTTGTTTGGATAATTTTATTCAAAAGCTAGTTAAGATGTTTAATGGCCAAAATAAGCATGAAATTTTTAATATATATTTTTTGACTAATTAATAACTAAAAAAATTAAATTTAAAATTATAACTAATAAGTAAAAAAATCTTAAATATTCAAGATAGAAGAGAAGAGAAAGAAAGCATAAGTTATCGGATCAATATAAAAGTCAATAACACTACTTGTTTATAACAAATAAACATGTAATATTTAAATTTATTCATTCATAGAATGATATTTTATCTAATCTTTTTTTAATTTAAATTGTACATTTAACACCAGTAACTTTAAAGCTTGATGTTAGTTTAGAAATATAAATAATTATAAACTAATATATAATCATCAGTATTTTTACTATTTATTCTTAGATATTGTTTATATTATAATTATAAATATGAATATTAAAATAAATAATATAACAACCTCAAGAAGTAAAAAAAATTAAAATAAATAATACAAATGATATTGTATCAATTATATTTATAGTTTACTTTAAACAAAATAAATAATATAATTTGTAATTTTATAAATTAAAAGAATTAAATTGAAGAATTTAAGGATAGTAATGATATTTTATAATATTTAATATTTAATATATATGTGTGTTTGTATAGTTTAATAATATGTATGTGTGTGTGTATATATTTAATTATGCAATAATAAACTATAGGTTCATTCCAGCTCAGTGGCAAAATGGTTGGACACAAAAGGAAGAGGTCATAGGTTCAAACCTTGAAGGAGACAACTTTCAAAATGGAAATATAAATTGGTGATATGATGACACGTGGTGTATGGTGAGAGCGACACATGGAGGCGCCACATGGTGTAAGGTAGGGCGACACATGGAGGATGACATGGCATCACGTGGTGCGAGGTGGGGCCCTATGTGGAGGGTGACATGGCGCCATGTGGTGTATGGTGAGAGCGGCACATGGAAAGTGACATGGTGCCATATAGCATGAGGTGGGGGTGACACATGGAGGATGATATGGCACCGCATGGTGCGAGATGGGGCCCTATATGGAGGGTAACATGGCGCCACGTGGATGATGACATGGTACCATGTGTGTAAGTGAACCAACATTACTTTTCAGCGGCGACTTTTTTCGCGACAACAAATGTTGCCACTAATACTTAACATTCAACGATGACAAAATATTGCCATCAATTTTCAACTTTCAGTGACAACTATCATTTGGCTGGAACAAATTTTCTTTTTTGTGGTAGCATTTATCGCCGCTGATTCTCAACTTTCAGTGACGACTTTTATTGTCACGGTAGATTCAATCAGCAACAAGAGCTCTCGTGGTGATATTGTGGCAACTTTTTGTCGCCGTTGAAAACTTTCAGCGATGAATTTTTGACTTTCAACAGCGACAAATGTCACCGCTGAAAGTCAATTTTTTTTGTAGTGTACTTTGGTAATGTTTCTTCCATTATCTTTTATCTTATTGGTTAATAATTAATTAGACAACTTCTCCTTCAAACATACCTACTCGGAAACCTCTCCGGCTACGATAGTTAGAATTCATGGCTATTTTTGCTAGTTGTACTGAATTGTTTTGTAATTCCCTTGATCATAATTAATGGAACTATTGACATTCTTTGTCCTCTCATATTTCTTCCTAATTTCAAGTTATTTAGTAGAGCGGGGAATTCAAGACAACTTGTTTTCCCCATATTTTGTATAGTATCAAGCTTGAGAAATTGGGGACAAAATGAGTAACAAGGCTTTCAAGCTCGGGGTTAAAAGCCTGTAAAAAAGGAAGGGGAAGAAAAAGAGAGCCGAGAGCTAAGGCTAGCCTAAAATCCATTTTCTATATTTTTTTAAGGTTCCTTATTCTATTTTTTTCCATCTAAAAAAAAATCTCATACTTAGTCTCAAACAATCAATCAAACCCTAAACACTGAAGTGTAAACTCTAAAATTCTCCCTCGTCTCACCTTCCCTCTGTCTCATCTTCTCGCCCACTCCATTAGATTGCAAAGCTTCCTTCAGATTGATGGTGTCTAATAAGTAGCCCCAGCACTTGAGCTTTCTTTAGCACAAGATTCAAGTTCAAATATATGTTTCTTTTTCATAGCCCGGTATCTTGGGAAATCTAGAGATATTACTACCACCTGCCCATAGTTATCCACTTGCAGGATTGAGACAATAATCAAACTTTACCAAACTACGTTAATTTACTTAATTCGTATTTACAATTTTACCAAAAAGATATCTTATAAAATAGGGCAGAGAGAGAGTATTAATCTGGAAATATAAAATCCTAAATTCCAGTTCTTCATGTGGGGTTCAAACTAAAATTTTTCAGATGAAGAAATGACTCAGTATTTGAATATATTAATATTGTACCAAAAAAGAAATTCAATATATCATAAGTGACCAACCGACCGTTTGTTTTTAGTTAAATAAATGCGATAAGTTTGAATTTAATTGCACTAAACTGGGTCTTCGCCTCCAATAAAATGTATTAAACCACGCTTAAGCCAAAAGGGTAAACAAAAACGACAATGCGTATTTTGCAAGCACTGTGACATTTGTATTCTTTTCTTTTCCCCCATCATGATATATATATATATATATATATATAATATGGGGCAATGATTTTTGCCGAATTTGTCACTGAAAGAATTTTATTGGACGAATTTTGCGGTGATAACATCAACATGTCTTGTTTGTTTACGCAAGCACTATAAATAAGTGAGGCTCTCCTGCTTCAAGAAATTGCCAAAAAGATCCCGTCAAAAAATTGCATTATTAAAAATATAGAATATTTAAAAAAAAGATGCTAATTAAATTTGAAAAGCCAACATCTGAAAGAACAATGATAAAAAAAATGAGAAGAAATTAAGATGAACGATAAAATATTATGAATTCCGATAAAGTGTATTATTATTAAATGCATTTAAATTTCTCATTCTTATTCTTAAAATTTAAGAGTTTAATTTTTTTGAGTTACTTTAAATTTAATTAAAAATTTAATGTGTATTTAATTATTTATTTAATTTTCAATTCACAGAACAATATTTTTCCCATGATATTATAACCATAACCAGAGCTCCTCTGAAACCGGCCGGCAATAAGTATTTTATCATCAGTGTGTCTTACTTGCACGCAACCACTTTTCACATGAGACTATATAAAAGGTTTGATAATATATAGGGAGACATTGTAGCTATTTTATTTCAAATAAATTCCAAAAAAAATTAAAATTACACTGCAGGACTAATGATTTAATTGAAGTTATGTTTTCATGGTGAAATGACTAAAATGCCATTTATTTTTTTTTTAATTATCCATCTACCATAGACGGAGCTCTGACTGCAATCATCGGAGTTCTGGGACCAGCTGTCAATGATAAATGCAGGGGGGCTTAAATCCAAGACCCCTTTGGTGCACAAAAAATTAATAACCACTAAGCTAATGATGCTTCATGATTATGTAATGGCAATATATATATATATAGCATAAACCAAATTTCCAAACCAAGGCTAAGCAAACTTGTTAATAATGTTACTTCACCAATAATACTTGGTAATCCACTAACAAAACTAAACTCATTGATAATACCTTCTACATATTTAATTCTGGTAACTTGTTAGTTAATTTAATAATATTACTTGTTAATGTACTAGCACAATTTGATGAGAGTGCCTTTTACATATTCAATCCCAATAACTGGTTAAGACTCTAGCATAACTTGTTAGGTTATTAATGCTACTTGTTAATACCTTTTTCATATTCAAAAAGTTTCACCGCTGGCTCAATGTTGGTGGTGTGGATTAATTGAAAAGAGCCCACATCTAAATGAGCTCCGATTTGACAAACTTAACTTGCCGCATTGGTGGGTCCATATTACCCACCATCAAATAACGCCTAAAGTACAAGAGATAATGATAACAAGTAACCTTTGATGAAATTATCAACCATTCAATAAGAGGACAAGTTATAGTGACAGGAAATAGTTTATTATCCGCGATTTTCTTAACAGCTATCTTGACGATGGCAACTTCTCGTCCATAGAGTTATATCATAAAAGAACTGCTTGGGCAATAATTAGAAGCAAGACGGTAAGGAGAAGAGAAGCACCGAGAAAATGAGTCTGCAAGTTGAAGTAATCTCTCGAGAAATGGTGAAACCATCATCTTCTACACCTCAACATCTTCGCGATTACCCTCTCTCCTTCATCGACCAGATAACTCCCCAAATCAACAATTCTATGGTCTATTTCTTCGAGGCCGATGATAATGCCGCACACAAATTGAGCATCAACGAAGCTTCCGATCTTCTCAAGAAATCGTTATCTCATGTCTTAACTCACTTCTACCCACTCGCCGGAAGACTCATCACCAAGAACTTACTCGTAGACTGCAACGACGAGGGTGTCCCTTACGTGGAAACGAGAGTCAGGTGCCATCTCCGCCACATCATCGACAGCCCCTCTACTGCTGACGTCAGCAAGCTGCTTCCCTACGACATGGATGAAATCGTCGACACCGTCCTAGGTGTCCAGTTCAACGTCTTTGATTGCGGCGGAATGGCAGTTGGTGTCAGTCTCTCCCACAAGATTGCTGATGCGATGTCGTATTTCCAGTTCATCAAGAGCTGGGCAGCCATGACACGTGGCGAACCAGAACCAATCAGAACCCACTTTCAATCCTCCTCACTCTTCCCTCCAAAAGACGTGTTTGGATACGACCCGAATTCACACATCGGGCAACACAAAGTCGTTTGCAAGAGGTTCGTATTTGAAGCATCCGTAATAGAATCTCTGAGAACAAAATATTCCAAGAAGGTTCAAGAAGGCCAAAAACCACCTTCAAGGGTCGAAGTGTTATCAACTTTCCTATTGAACAGGTTCGCTGCTGCTACAAAAGATCATGAAGGGGGCAATAATAAGATTCACTTGGTGACATCTACAATGAATCTACGCCCAAGGATGGAGCCTCCATTGCCAGAATATGCGTTCGGGAACTATTACTGGTATGTTCAAACGTTTCCAACGTTGGACGGGAAAGGAGAGTGCAATGACCTAGGAAGACAGCTACGAGAAGAGCTACGTAAAGTGGACAATGATTTTATTGAGAGGCTTCGAGAAAGCAAAGAATGGAACCCTAATACAGAAGAGATGGGCAGAGCAATTGAGAAAGGAGAGTTGGTGCTAGTTACTTTCACTTCACTTTGTAGGTTTCCGGTGTACGAGCTTGATTTTGGTTGGGGGAATCCAGCGTGGATCGGACCGCCTACGTGGAAATTCAAGAATGTGATTGCTCTTAAAGACACCAAGTCTGGTGGTGGCATTGAAGCTTATGTCAACATGACAGAGGATGACATGGCTAAATTTGAACGGGACGAGGAAGTTCTTGCTCATGCTTCTACCAAGTGGTTCAAATAATTAATGTCACACCAATGTTATAATCGTATGTCTTGGGTTTTCTTTTTCTTTTTTTCCTTTAATTGTTACCGTTCACGTACTGTGATCTTGTCAATTGTCTACCGTCATATGCGTTATTGAAAGCTTATCTTTTAATCGCTGAATTGATTAGTGAAAGTTAGGGGTTTGCTTTTCTGATTAAAATAAAGATTGCAAGTTGTTGAATAGCTTTACAATTAAGTCAGACGTGACACCAGCGCATTATTATATTACTAAAGACCGCGACAATTAAATTAAATGGATTGAATTATTTACTAATCACATGCTCGATACCATAAAGTATTAAGATATCTATCTTACCCAAATAAAAAGGTATTAAGAAATATCGGATATTTTGATTTCTTAACTTCTGATTTAATTTGGTAGAGCTCTTATGCTTTAATTTATTTGTCTTTATTATTCAGAAAATTTCATCCCCCCCCCCCCACCCCTCCTTTGCCAGCTATAAGACCATACAGGTCCCCATTCGGGTTTGGAATCTCAAATATGCCTTCCTCCAATGTACTTTATAATATCTAGCATTTTTTATTTCATTTTTCTCTAATATCAAATTTTATGGTATTTTTCTTTAAAAATCACAAAAAAAAATGCAAAGCCATTCCATTTTAAGACTTCGACATTTTATAATGTCTCTTATTCAGCTGGTCCTATTTATAAGTCACTTCCAACATGTTTGTCCGAAACCCAAAAAAGAAAACTTTAAAACTCATTAACTTTATCTACAAATTTAATAATTTATTAATTTTTTCCCTATTAAATATATATACTTTAATATCATATTGTCTCTCTTAAACATTCAATGGGAATATTTTATATAGAAGCCAAATGATTCAAAGAAAAAACAAAACAAAATTGTGAGGGCGAGACATTATAAAAGACATTAGAAAGACATGTATTAGAGGTCTCAAGTCCAAGACGATACAAAATTAAAGGTTTTAAAAGATTTTCAAAATCATATTTTTCATTAATACGCGTTCAAGATCATAACCAGGGGCTCCATGGGTTTCTTTTCATCTTATTGCACTTCAAACACACACGTATAATGGAAGTTTACAAAACACTCTTTTCAGCTAATATTTGTGCTTTTGTAAATTAATATTATATGATCAAAATTCAGAGATAATGTCTAACTTTATGTCACTGTGCCTGAGAAGGATATAGACCCTACTAGACCTTCCACCACAGCAATGTATATTATTTTGACCACACCTACTTCCTGATGAGTTTTACGTATTAGCAGTACTATTCTATCTTATGATTTTTCTTATAATAATAATTTGTCGGATTTCGTTTGAGTATGCTAATTCATTTATCTTAATATATGATAATAAAAATATACCAATTCAAGATTTTCAACCTCAGTTATTCATACGGTGTGACTAAACTACTAATGTGATCTTATTATATGCCCAAAAGGTTGGGTTACTTCTTGGATGATGTTTTGGAGATAAAAATTGGTGGCTGAGAATTACTCCATTGTTATTGGTGTATATGTTACACATTAACGTCATTTTACTGATTTAAGAAATAGATTTTTCACATGTTATAATGATGAATTCCAAATTTAATTATTTTTTTGTAATATTTTTCACCTTTCTCGTGTTAATCTGGGAGCCGTCAGCATAGTTTATGTTGATTTTGAGTACTTATTGAAATCTCATTTATTAATGTCATTAATTGTAAATACGGGTTTTCTTTTCTTCAATTAGTGTTTTTATGCCTGGTTAGTTTATTTATAAGGTGTTTTTAATCTTTGCAAGGAATCCAAACAATAAAAACATAGGATGATAATGAAGGAAAATAAGAGATTTACGAATTACGGGAAATCAAAAAATTACCCCATCATGATAGACTTCAAGATTAGAACACATCGCATGACTTATTTTGAGGGTTTTAAGGTATTCTTTTTCATGGTTCATAAATTACTAGGAAAAAGGATGCATGTAACCTCATTTCTGGGTTTTTCAATATAGTTTTGGGAGATTCATGGAGCCTAAGATAGGTGGAGATACTGGCTAGAGATTGATGGCCTTCGCTTCCTACCGATCATTCATTTTTTCTCCTTTGTTCTCTCCAATTTGTGGTATTTTGATTTTTTTTTTATTGAATCTAGCTATTTAATTTTTGAGAAACACTTAGATAGACCAAATTCACCATGTCATTTGTGTTTTGTCCAATTAAAATACATCAAGTAATCTAAATAAAATCTTGTGTGACATTTTTTTAAATTAAGTTTATTTTTATAATATAATTCATATTTGATTTATTGACTTTTCTCTTTCTATTATCATTAATATCATAATCAATTTATATTTAATGACATATAAATATCATACAAATGACGTAGTGTAACCAATCTACCTGAGTATTTCTTTTAATTTTTGGCTAAACCTCCTCTAACTTGGAGTATCTATATATATACCTACTCGTGAATAAGGGGTTGATTAGTCATTTGATTGTGACTAATTTAGGGTGATGCTTAGGAAAGAAATAATCTTAAATAATGGACTGTTGAACATTGGGTAATTCAAAATCAGGTTATGATTTGAATTGTGTCTAGCATAGGAATCACATTAAAAAAAAAAAGGTCATTTTAGGAACATTTTTTTGGTCATTGGTGGCGTTTTAAAATGTCTCTGGTGATAATTTCGGCATTTTTCAAGAACACAACCTAAATAGACACCTCAATTACTTTCGTGGTGTTTTTTCAAATATGCAGAAATTGTCAAAGAAATGTTGTTAGTGACAGTGTTTTTTTTTTTTTTTGGGTAAAGAAACCCCTCATAGAAAGGTATGGGAATGGTCCACTGCCACATGCCCCCACCCGAGTAAATGGGTTAAAGAGGTTCCACTCTCCACTCCATCAAGGACACCTAGTGTGTTACCTTTGACAAAGGGGGAGGGCAAACAATGAGAATAAAGACAAGAGTAACATTCTACCTAAAATTGACTTTCAAGTTGCCGTTGAAAATTTTCGACAGCTATAAAAAAATTGCCATAATGTTGCTGTGAGAGTTTGTATTACTAGTTTTATTTGCGACGATAATAAAAATCATCACTGAAATACTACTACAAAATAATCTTACAGGAGTCCTTATTTTTGACCTTTGAAAGCGCTTCTACAACTAACACTCCCGTATATACAAGAGCGCTTTATAAAGCACTCCTATAAGGGTGCCTTATAAGGAGCTTTTATAAAAGCACTCCCTTGTAGATTGACCTACAAGAGCGCTTTTTATAAAAGCGCTCCTGTATATCCGAATATATGGGCATATGAGAGCGCTTTTACAAAGAATGCTCCCATATGGCAACTTATAGGAGCACTCTACAAAAGAACACTCCCATATGTATATTTATGGGAGCGCTCTATTTTTGAGCACCCTCATATGTTGTTTTAATTTTTTTTAACATTTAAATTTTTGGGCCCCATAGCTTGAAAAATTAGCCTCTTCTTCACTACTAACTTTGAAATTAAATCTCAAAAACTCAAGTTATACTGGCCTAAACAAAAAAGGCACTTCGGCAATGTATTTTCAAAAGAATTTTCTGTTGGCAAGAAAATAATTAATTCTAAGTGAAAATTACAGAGGCAAGAGAATAAGATATCCCAACAAAGCAAGTGACGAAAAAATTAAGAAAAAAAGAAAGTAGGATGCTAAGGAAATAAAATAATCTAACAAGGTATGATGATAGGACATGTATAGATTGCTTTAACATACTTGTAAGTAAAATAATGCAACTTAAGGAACTGCTAAAGTAATGGCCAAGTTATATTGTGGTCATACGCTTCCCAGCTTCGACTTAGATATTGCATCAAGCATATCTGATTCTGCTTCCTACAAGAGATAATTTAGATTGAAACACTACTAGAAAAATTGAATTTAGTGAGGGACGAATCTCTTGCTAAATGCCATTTTTCATAGCTAAATTATACTTTAGCTATAAATTTTTTCCCTCGCTAAATTCGTAACTAAAAAAAGGCTCCCTAAATTTAGCGAGAAATTGTATTTTCCTCGCTAATTAGTGAAGGATTTAGCGAGGAATTCAATCCCTCGTTAAAATTAGCTAGGGATTGAATCCCTCGCTAAATGTGCTTACATTTAAAAATAATTATGCTACATCACCCACCATATGTGATATCAACTTGTGACATGTCATCAATAACCTCATGCTTTGACAACCACCATGTCACCTACCATCTCGTACCCTATCACCCACTACATGTGCGGCAACTCATGACACGTCATAGTCTACCTTGTGCCATGTCACTTACTCCTCACCATATCATATATTCATCATGTTTATGCCAAAGCCAAGGTTTGAACCTTTAACCTCATACCTTCCAAGCTTTATGCTCTCCTTCTTTGTTAGTTGAACTGAAAGGCACCTACAAGCATTATATGATAAATTAAATATATATATATATATATTATTTAACTACATAAATATATCAAATAATATATTATAAAAATACACACATATACATATTAAATTTTATTTCCAATTATTAATATGTTAAAAATATTTATATTTTATTTAAATTATTCTTTGTATTATATTTTTAATAAAATATTATTTTATTAATGAAAATCAACTTAAAACAAAGAAAATATTAAATAATTTTATTATGAATATTTTAGTTAATTTTTAAATTTAATAATTATTTTTAAATGAAAATAATTAAATATATAATTAAAAGTCATTGTCAAAAGGTAATTTCTTTTATAGTAATAAGCTAGGGATAGAATCCCTTGCTAAATCCCTCGCTAATTATCTTATTTTAGAGAGGGATTGACAGTCCCTCGCTATTTTCCTCACTAATTCTCTTATTTTAGAGAGGGATTGACAGTTCTTCGCTAATTTCCTCACTAATTTTAAGTTAAGCTATGAAATCAACATCCCTCACTAATTTTCTCATTAACTTAATATTTTAGAAAGGAATAGATGATCTCTCGCTAAATTTTCTCGCTAATTTACATTTTTCTAGTAGTAAAGTCAAAAAGCAATAGAATAAAAAGTTCGGGTCATGAATGTAAACTGATTTTTCAAGACAAACAGTGGTATTTATAATATGTATCAACAAAAGGAATTAGTTCAACGAGAATTTAAAAAAGTTAACTCCTACATGTATTATTTAAAGAGTTAAAAATAAGAAAATTTACAAATA